CTACATACACACACTGTTACTATACACACACTGCCCCCCCATCACACTGCCCCCCATACACCTACTGCCCCCATGCACACACACTGCCCACTGCCCATACACACTGTCCCCATACATGCACCTTGCAGCCATGCCACACTGCCCCACAAACCTGTCCCCCCACCACACACACACACACACTGCCCCCCCATACACCATGCACACACTGCCCCCCACAAACACTGCCCCCCCACACACACCTGTCCCCAGCTGCCCCCATACACTCTTTTGACCCCAGCCACACACTGCCCCTGAGCCACTGTCCCCCATACACTACACTGCCCCACAAACACTGTCCCCCATACACACACTGCGTCCCCATACACACACTGCCCCACAAACACTGTTCCCATACGTACATTGCCCCCCATACACACACTGCCCCACAAACACTGTCCCCATACACACACTGCCCCCCATACACACACTGCCCCGATACACACACTGCACACCCACAAACACTGTCCCCATACACTACACTGCCACACTAACCTGTCCATACACACACTGCCCCACAAACACTGCCCCCCATACACACACACTGCCCCCAAACACTGTCCCCATACACACACACCCATATACACACTGCCCAAAAAACACATACAGTGCCCCCATACATACACTGCCCCCTAACACACACACTACAACCCTGACATACACTGCCGCACTCACACACTTCACCCTTAACACACACCACTGCTCCTATACCCTATATCCCAGCAGACCCCAGGTAAGTTGTCAAACTGTTTTTAAACGGTATGACTACTTACTCTGGGGTGGAATCCTGGCACTACTGACACCATAACTACTACACTGAGCTGTAGTGGTTATTGTGCCTGGATTATTTAATTAAATAATCTACAAGTGCCCCTCCCGAGATCAGGCTCTGGATCCGCCACTGTGCAATACCTTGTAGCGATTAGTATTTCAAAGGTTATGGTGCTTGGAGAGTCCCTTTAAAAGTGTTTCTCACTTACTTTTATGAACTGATTGACACAAATTAATGTATTTTAATATTTGATTGTATCATAAAATGTGTGCATTAACTCATCATTCAATTTAATGTAGTCATTAATGGCTGACGTGCTATTATATTAGACTAAATTAAAATACTTCTTTGAAAAAAAAAGACAATTAAGACTCAAAGTTGATTACACTTGCAACTTAGAGAAATATATCCATACCTATTAAATTTCAAATAATGATGTTTCAAGCAGCAGGAAAAAAACAATGATTAAAAATTAGTATCTCCTCTCTGAAATGTCTGCATTGCATTATTGCATTAGAAGACAGACAGAGAGACAGACAGATTGAAAAAAAAAATAGATACTGAAAATCATATATGACCTTAAGCAAATTCACAACCTATAGCACTTGCTTAGTGGTCTTAGTGGTCTCAAACGTCTTCTCTTTTGTATCTGTCTATCCCTTATCTTAAATGTATATTCAATCTGTTAATCATTTCTCAGAAAACAAATATTACCTTATATACATCAATAAGTTTAATACATATATATAAACCTTAGCAATATTAATAAGCTATCTAAACACTTCACGTTAGAAGGCATCCATTACAGCAATGAAAATTAAAGAATACTGCAAAATTACATTTATGGATTCTACATTCTGACAGTGGTAGTTTGTTTCCTGATTTCCTCTTGAAAGGGTTAAAAATGAAGTACGTGACTACTGTACATGGACAAGACTACATTATGAGAAATAGCAATTGTTAAATGTCGGCTTAAAGTGAAACCTGTCACAGACCATCAAAGAAATAACCTTTTGACCTCGCTACCAGAAATACATGTTGTTGGTTGCTGAATAAGCAATATTGTGTTTAGCTGATGTGATCTTGTCATGTTACTTTTGCTGTAACTTCTGTCTATAAATACGTTTGCCTGAGCCTTAATACATTGGTAGTAGCCCAAATAGAAACACGTTGTCTGTTTATCACTGAAAGGCTCTCCCCGGACGTTCGGTCCAAAAGTGAGGTACATGGAACGCTTTGCCCAGCAGTTTATTATGACCCCAACACCTCTGTTACTATACATATTACACTTGGCTGGAACTCTAGCATGTTCAGGAAATTAAGATTTAAAGAAACAGAAACTGTCTCTTTCAATCTTGGTACTCTAAATACCAAAACAACTTTGGATTAATTCAGCAGTTAAAATTTCGAGGCTGACGTTTGACAACTCAAACCTTCAGCTCCCTCCACAGATTTTCTATGGGATTAAGGTCTGGAGACTGGCTAGGACCTTACAGTGACTCCAGGACCTTACAGTGCTTCTTCTTGAGCCACTCATTTGTTGCCTTGGTTGTGTGTTTTGGGTCATTGTCATGCTGGAATACCCATCCACAACCAATTTTCAATGTCCTGGCTGAGGGAAGGAGGTTCTCACCCAAGATTTGACGATACATGGCCCTATCCATCGTCCCTTTGATGCGGTACAGTTGTCCTGTCCCCTTAGCAGAAAAACACCTCCAAAACATAATATTTCCACCTCCATGTTTGACGGTGGGGATAGTTTTCTTGGGGTCATAGGCAGCATTCCTCCTCCTCCAAAAATGTCGATTTGAGTTGATGCCAAAGAGCTCGATTTTGGTCTCATCTGACCACAAAACTGTTACCTAGTCATTCAGATGTTCATTGGCAAACTTCAGACGGGCCTCTACATGTGCTTTGTTGAGCAGGGGGACTTTCCGGGTGCTGCAGGATTTCAGTCCTTCATGGCACTATGGTCCCAGCTGCCTTGAGATCATTAACAAAATCCCCCCGTGTAGTTCTGGGCTGTTTCCTCACCGTTCTCATAATCATTGAAACTCCACGAGGTGATGTCTTGCATGGAGCACCAGACCAAGGGAGACTGATAGTTATTTTGTGTTTCTTCCATTTGCGAATAATAGCACCAACTGTTGTCACCTTCTCACCAAGCTGCTTGGCGATTGTCTTGTAGCCCATTCCAGCCTTGTATAGGTCTACATTCTCGTTCCTGATATCCTTGGACAGCTCTTTGGTCTTGGCCATGGCAGAGAGTTTGGAATCTGATTGATTGATTGCTTCTGTGGACAGGTGTCGATTATACAGGTAACACGCTGAGATTAGGATCATTCCCTTTAAGAGAGTGCTCCTAATCTCAGGTCATTACTCATATAAAAGACACCTGGAAGCCAGAAATCTTTCTGATTGATATGGAATCATATACTTATTTCACTCATGCAAATCAATTTATAACTTTTTTGACATGCATTTTACTGTTTTTTTTATTATTATTATTCTGTCTCTCACTGTTAAAATACACCTACCATTAAAATTATAGACTGATCATTTATTTGTCAGTGAAAAAAAAACATTCAAAATCAGCAGAGGATCAAATTATTTTCCCCCTCACTGTACAGGAGTTGACGAGCTTTTCTGACCCTTACTTAAAACTATGACTAATCATGGGTCCTCAGTAGCATCAAACCCATTTTTCTTTATTTGTGTTGGGCATGCAAAAAAAACCCACAGACTTTTAGTAGCAGCAAGTAGTTTTGTTTTAATTGTAAACTCGTGTGGTAGAAAGTACTATTGACAACAAAAGTCTATTGTGCATACAGACAGTTAATGTGCATAACCAAGATCTGCTCATAGGATCTACAGTAATCCAACTCTACGTAAATGCTGCTAGTAAGGGGCTTTGGCTGCTGAAGCTCTGGTTGTGGAACTCTTTAGTCCCAAATCTCTACCATTGGTGGAGAAGGCAGGAGGTTATTGCTCCATTAGGTTACGAACCCCTCTATGAGTTAGGCAGCATTGCAGGATCACATTAAATAACTGTCTGTGGAGGATGTGTTTATTTCTGACGGTGCTTTCATTTAGATCTTGGAGAGTTTCAGCAACACGCTCTTCATTGCATATTCCCACCTCTCTGATAGTGCAGGGGTCATCAGAGTTTCCTTTGGGCTTAAGCACCAGGTGTTTATGGAACCTGCAACTGTGTATTATTTTATTTTATATGTACAAAAATAAGTAAGTTTCACTTTCAGTGGGTAGCAATTCTATATTAGCAAAAATTTTAGCATAATTACTTAATGTCTCTAGATACTACTGAAACTCTGACATAGTATCACTGGAGTACAGATAGGTTTGTTCAAAACAGGCAGGGAGTGAGTTCATGAGAGGAAGGGTTCATTTAACATATATTTCTGATTTGTTCACATTATTTAACATTCTTTTTACATATTGCATTTAAGTTGTCATGATTTACTTATACAACTTTCATCATAGGTTATCAATTCAGCAAATCATTAACTAACAAAACTTAGAATTCCATTAGGATCAGTATTTCTGCCTGAAGTTATCGCAGCATAGGTCTACCCTTAATTAAACTAATTTACATGACTAAATTAGTTTTAATTACTCCCATTCATTTCACTAATACCTTTGTCTGATTGGAGAAAAGCAATTCCATAATTGCAAAAAATGGCACTCCTAGGAGCTCATTGTTCCCACTGGTGTACGTGAAGGACACAAAGCATAATTTGTGACTATGTGCCTGCAATTAATACTACAAATGCTCCTGTATAGCAATGCAAGAAGAAAACAAATGTGTTACATAGAAACATAGAATGTGATGGCAGATAAGAACCATTCGGCCCATCTAGTCTGCCCAATTTTCTAAATACTTTCATTAGTCCCTGGCCTTATCTTATATATATAGCTAGGATAACCTTATGACTTCCCCACACATGCTTAAACTACTTCACTGTGTTAACCTCTACCACTTCAGCTGGAAGGCTATTCCATGCATCCACTACCCTCTCAGTAAAGTAATACTTCCTGATATTATTTTTAAACCTTTGTCCCTCTAATTTAAGACTATGTCCTCTTGTTGTGGTAGTTTTTCTTCTTTTAAATATAGTCTCCTCCTTTACTGTGTTGATTCCCTTTATGTATTTAAATGTTTCTATCATATCCCCCCTGTCTCGTCTTTCCTCCAAGCTATACATGTTAAGATCCTTTAACCTTTCCTGGTAAGTTTTATCCCGCAATCCATGAACCAGTTTAGTAGCCCTTCTCTGAACCCTCTCTAAGGTATCAATATCCTTCTGGAGATACGGTCTCCAGTACTGTGTACAATACTCCAAGTGAGGTCTCACCAGTGTTCTGTACAATGGCATGAGCACTTCCCTCTTTCTACTGCTAATACCTCTCCCTATACAACCAAGCATTCTGCTAGCATTTCCTGCTGCTCTATTACATTGTCTGCCTACCTTTAAGTCATCAGAAATAATCACCCCTAAATCCCTTTCCTCAGATGTTGAGGTTAGGACTCTATCAAATATTCTGTACTCTGCCCTTGGGTTTTTACGTCCAAGATGCATTATCTTGCACTTATCCACATTAAATGTCAGTTGCCACAATTCTGACCATTTTTCTAGTTTACCTAAATCATTTGCCATTTGGCTTATCCCTCCTTGAACATCAACCCTGTTACATATCTTAGTATCATCAGCAAAAAGACATACCTTACCATCAAGACCTTCTGCAATATCACTAATAAAAATATTAAAGAGAATGGGTCCAAGTACAGATCCCTGAGGTACCCCACTGGTGACAAGTCCAAGCTTCGAATATATTCCATTGACTACAACCCTCTGTTGCCTGTCACTCAGCCACTGCCTTACCCATTCAGCAATATTGGAATCCGAACTTAAAGATTGCAGTTTACTGATAAGCCTTCTATGTGCAACAGTGTCAAAGCCTTACTGAAATCTAGGTAAGCAATGTCTACTGCACCACCCTGATCTATAATTTTAGTTACCCAATCAAAAAAATCAATAAGATTAGTTTGGCATGATCTCCCTGAAGTAAACCCATGTTGTCTCTGATCTTGAAATCCATGTGTTTTTAGATGTTCAACAATCCTATCCTTTAACATGGTTTCCATCACTTTCCCCACTACTGAAGTAAGGCTTACTGGCCTATAGTAGCCCGACTCCTCCCTATTACCTTTCTTGTGAATGGGCACAACATTCGCTAACTTCCAATCTTCTGGGATTACTCCTGTTAACAATGATTGGTTAAATAAATCTGTTAATGGTTTTTGTAGTACACCACTAAGCTCTTTTAATAGCTTTGAGTGTATTCCATCAGGTCCCATTGACTTATTTGTCTTTACTTTTGACACTTGAAATAGACCCTCTTCCTCTGTAAACTCACGTGTAATAAATGACTCATTTATCCTTTTTCTTAACTGAGGTCCCTTTCCTTCATTTTCTGTAAATACAGAACAAAAATATTAATTGAGGCAGTCAGCTAGACCTTTATCCTCTTCTACATACCTCCCTTCTTTTGTTTTTAATTTAACTAATCCTTCTTTTACTTTTCTTTTCTCATTTATGTATCTAAAAAAAGGTTTGTCCCCCCTTTTTACTGACTGTTTGGCCACATCTGCGGAGTACCACAGTGGTTTCTTGAATTTTTTGCTTTTACTGACAAGCCTAATGCAATTTTCTGTTGCCTTCAGTGGTGCAACTTTTAAATAATCCCATTTCTCTTGGACTCCATTTAAATTGCTCCAGGCTGATAATGACTCCTCTACACATATTCTAATTTTAGAAAAGTCTGTTTTTCTATAGTCTAAAACTTTTGTTTTTGTGTGGTGTGACTCAGTCACTATTCTTATATTAAACCACACTGACTGATGATCACTGGATCCTAAACATTCACCTACAGTAATATCTGATACCAAATCTCCATTTGTTAACACTAAACCTAGTATGGCCTCTTTATGAGTTGGCTCCTCAACGACTTGTTTTAGAGACAATCCCAGTAGGGAGTTTAAAATATGTGTGCTCCTGGCACAAGCAGCTATTTTTGTTTTCCAATTTACATCAGGAAGATTAAAGTCACCCATTATGATAACTTCCCCCTTCATTGTCATTTTAGCTATTTCCTCAACTAGAAGATTATCTAACTCTTCAATTTGTCCTGGGGCCCTATAAATCACACCTACACGAGTTACTATGTGATTACCAAATTCTAACGTAACCCAAACAGACTCTATGTTCGCCTCACTAACTTTTATTAGGCTAGATTTTATGCTATCCTTCACATACAGGGCCACCCCTCCCCCCTTTCTTGCCTTCCTTGTCTTTTCTATATAAAGAGTACCCTGGTATTGCTATGTCCCAGTCATTTTTCTCATTATACCATGTCTTAGTAACAGCGACTAAATCTACTAAATCAGTTGCCATTATTGCCACAAGTTCATGGATCTTATTCCCTAAACTGTGAGCATTTGTAGACATGACTCTAAGCTTATCATTTTTTAACACACTTGCTACAGGCACCTTCTGTCCTTGTTTTGGGGGACAATTGGATTGATGTTTTATCACCCTTTTGCCCCCCCCCCTCCTAGTTTAAATACATCCTAGCAAAATCTCTGAACTGCTCACTGAGAACATTTGTTCCCTTTTGAGAAAGATGCAAACCATCTTTTTTGTACAAGTTATTTCCATTCCAAACACAGCTACCATGAGAAATAAAGCCAAATCCTTGCTCCCGACACCATTCACCAAGCCACAAATTAAAGTCCCTAATACACATCCGCCTGTCGTTCTGAGTGTTATGTACAAGCAGAACTTCAGAGAATGACAGTGTGGAAGCAACCTGCCGTATATCATTGGCAAAAACACTAAAAACTTCCTTAACCTCTGAAACCTCATTGCAAGCCAAGTCATTTGTCTCTAGATGGACAAGTACATCCAATTCCTCTTCCTGCTTTGCTCGCTTAACAATATTACAGATACGTCTCCTGTCTCTGTGAGCAGTAGCTCCGGGAAGACACCTCACAAGACCACCATTGTCCATCTCCACACCTCTTATGATGGAATCTCCCAACAACAACTGCTTTCTATTAGGCCTCACCATAGTCTCCAAGCCTGTCTCCACAACACCACTAGCCTCAGTGCCTCTCTCCACAACACCATTACACTCTGAAAGTGCAGAAAATGAATTATGTAGAGCAACAGACTGTGCAATATGCCTTTTATGCACAACTCTAAGTCTAACAGATCCTACAGTAATCCATTGCCATTCCTAGTATGTCTCTGCAGCAGTGGCTTTGCAGCAGTTCCAGAGTTTGTTTACCAGATAATTTACAAATCTCAGACTTCAAGAATACAATCTCCTGCCACAAGATAGAGAACTGTCTACAGATTAGACAACAACCAAACCTCCAAAAAGTGGAACGTGAAACAAATGCATAGCAACTATTACACTGAACTAAGTTTGCCATTCCACTGAGGTGAATAATTTAAATCAAACAAATCTTTTTATTTATCCTCCTGAATACCTCAGATTACCTCCACCTCAGGTTATCTCCAGAATATCTCCAACCACACACTTAGAAGCAACACTCTCCGGAATATCTCCAACCACACACTTAGAAGCAACACTCTCCAGAATATCTCCAACCACACACTTAGAAGCAACACTTAGATGAAGCAACAAATCTATATTAGCCATGCTAATGACAACAACCCTTATATAACTTCTAAAATCACAACCACTAGGAATGTTTAACCCCTTAAGACCGGAGGGCGTACTATTAAACCCTATTTTAGGCGGCTCTTAACGCCGCCGGGCGTAATAGTACGCCCTCCGGTCTTTCATTACCTACCCGGTCACCCAGGGAGCCCCTCCGCAGCAGATCTTCCTCCTGGCAGCCCCCCCGGCCATGTGAGAGTGAGGTCCTTGCGAGGACCTCACAATCACATGGCCGGGATAGCTGGCTGCAGCATTGCCAGCAGGGGGGCTGCCTGTAATGACAGGTAGTCCCCCTGCTGGCTGGAAATCAAATAAAATTAAAGTAATAAAAGTTAAAAAGTGTAACAAATAAATATATATTTAGATCATATATATATATGATCTAAGTATATATATATATACACATATGCATACAAACACATACACTGTCTAGGTGTATTTTACTATTAATATATATATAATTTAGAGCCACCTAAAATAGGGCGTAATAGTACGCCCTCGGGTCTTAAGGGGTTAAAAAAAACAAATATGATGAAAAATTGAAAAAAATACATGTTTTTTTACTCTTACTTGAAAATTATTTTACTCATCTACAAAAGCGAATAAAAAAAACTGCTAAATAGATTAAAAATGTAGTCCTGAGTTTTAAAATACCCAGTGTTTACATGCTTTTTTGCTTTTTTTTTGCAAGATATAGGGCTATAGGTACAAGTAGGATATTGCAGTTTCAAAACATACATTTTTTCAAATTTATCAATAGTGACATT